AAAATGGTTTTAAAAACACACACAAAATTAGTGATAAAAAAGTTTTTACAAAATAGTTATCAATTGAAATGCGATTATAATGTACTTTACATATAGTGTACGAGAAAAGTGTTAACTATTTGTTAACTAATTGTTAGAAAACGGTATAAAATACTGAATATAATATAAAAAAGTAACCTAAAATAGCGGTTAAAATAGACGTAAAACTAATATAAACCCAAATTAACAGCAAAACAAATGCATAACAAAATCAAAACTCAACGAAAACACACAATAAATGCCATAAAAAACACTAATTTTTTGTGTATTTTTGATCCCATAATAGACTCGCAAAACGCGCCCAAAGAGACCAAAAAGTTTGCGTTCGTCTCCCTGTCCCGGGAGGACATCCCACGGCCCGCCACTACACTACTGCCCGCCGACAGTATCATACGGTGCGGCGCCGACACAACGTCGCCGTTCAATGGCGAGGAGGCGCCCCACACATCCCTGTCCACCATCACCACCACCGGCGGCAACGCTAACGCCGTGAACACCAACACCGGTAGCGCCACAACCGCCAACCCTCTGGTCACGAGTAGTAGCAGTAGTGAGGCGGCGGCGTCCGGTGGCGTGTCGTTCACGGCTGCTATGGCACCGGGAGGTAGCGTTAGTACCGGCGCCGGTAGTTCAGTGGACAGCTGTGACGACAGTAACAGTCAGTCGGCGTTCGTTTTTGGCCAGAATTTGGCCGAAAGGGCTGTTTTCGTGCAGAACTCGGCCCAAAAGCACGGGGCCGACCCTCGCGACGAGACTACCGGTGCCGTCAAACGCGTTAAGACGGCCGCTGACGGCGTGGCCGCACCGGGCGATGACTTAAACGGCGATGTGGACGGAGCTACAGGCGCTGCCTCGACGTCGTCGGCAACCGATGGTGTGTTGGACTTGTCTTCCAGTGGCGGCGCCGGTAGTAGTGAGCCCTCGGAGTCCGATAGGAATAGCGCCGAAAATAAGCGCAAATACGAAGTGAAAGTGATTACCGGAGAGGAAGGTATGGTATATCGTGAGAGCGCCCGTAGTTTGTTGTGTGCACAACAGTTTCAGTAGTTTTTTGACTACCGGTGCTATATTGATGCAAACTGTGAGTGTTTTGTGTGATTAAGGGTTAGGACAGGCACTGATAGCACCGGCAGGTTTGTGTATAGAGTTTTTAGTAGTGTTTAATGGGTTTTGTAATTGATTTTGGGAAAGTATTTAAAAATATATTTTAGTATTAAATGTGTTTAATGTATTCAAATTGAACGTAAGGCTAATGCATGTGTTGGGAACGGTATGTTAGTAGGTGTATGAGTGTGAGTACTAGTGTCATATGCGGGGGCACCGGTAGTTGTTTATGAATTGAATGAATAGTTTATAAGTTTTTAATTGAAAGCCAATTAATACTATGTTTGTATTAATCGATAAACAGATGAGCAACACGTGCTGTCAATGCACTGTCGGCTATACGCGTGGGAAACGGACACCTGGAGGGAGAGGGGACGGGGATGTCTGCGCCTAAACGACGTGATTAAGGACGAGAAGCTGTGCTCAAGAATTGGTACCACTTTTTGCGGACACTTTTTGATTGGATTTTATTTAATGAGTGTTTTTTGTGTACACTTTAGTGATGCGGACGTCCGGCGCCCTACGTGTGATACTGAACGCACACCTGGTGTCGGGTATGCGGTTCGACATGTCTAACGAACAGTGCCTTCGGTTCACTAACGTGGACGGCATATACCTCATCAAAGTATGTGCCCTTTGACCCCCCATTTATGACTATTTTTTAGTAGTTTTTGTGTGAATTTTGCGGATATTTTTGAGTAACTGTTTGTGTGTTTAGAAAATTGAGTTTTTTTTGTAGGATTTTATAGGTTTTATGATTTTTAGTAGACTTTTGGCAACTTTTGAGCGCTTTTTAATAGTGGTTTATATTTGGGTTCAGGTATTCACTCATTTTTGGGTGTTTTTGAGACAATTTAAGACTTTTTTGTTGAGTTTTTATCATTAGTATTCATTATTTGTTAGACTTTTTTGGTGTACTTTTTGTTTGCACCACATTTGTAGCGATAGTTACCATCAAATGATTACTTGATTTCAATGCGCAATGAAAACCAATGACTGACTAATACTGTTTACTAATACGCATACCGTTTCCCCTTATAGGGCGCCCCCAAAGACATCGACCAACTAAACAGTGCCGTCGACTACCGGTTGCGAGAGATATTGAAACGTTGCGCCAAATCGGAGGCCGACTACCCGTCCGGTGCTGTAGGCGCTGGCGATGATGACGACGACCAGCACCGGGACAAACACCGGCGGTTAGGCGGCGACAGCCCCTCCAGCCTATCGCCCCCACCGTCGAAGGGGTCGCCACCTGTGGGTGGACTCGAGAGCACTCAACCCATGGTAGACGACTCCAACGATAGCTAAAAACTACTGTTCCCTTCGCCACCACCGCTTCCCTCCCCGTAGCCATCGATTCATTTATATACTTCATTGTCAGTACGACTTCCCGCCCCCTGCTCTCCCTCCCAACTCCTCTATAAATTCATAAATGCATTGAATAAGTAATAAATAAATTGTTTTTTATTTGAAATAAAAGTTTTGTGTTTTTATTCATATTTGTGTCAATACTTAGCGATTAGTAGTTAAATGAGTGATACATGTGCTGTGATTAGTATTGAGGTATTTGTCAGTTTTGCAATCAATTGAGCTTGGTGATTACGTTTGAATTAATATGATGTGGTTTAAAAATTAAATGTTTTTTGGGTTTCAAACAAAAGTTTTGAGTTACTATTTGGTCAATCATTTAGTGGTGTTTTTGTTTTTAAATAATTTTAATTAATTTCGTTATAATTACAGGTTTTTAAAATTCATAAAAGTCTCTCTCTCTCTCTCGCGTACTCACTCACTCTCATTGGAAAGTTATTTGCAGTGAATTTATTTGTAATAATCGTGAAATTTTATTTATTTATTAACATGGTTACACTAAACGAGTTTAATTTAAATTATTGCAACCTAATTACTATTAATTACGGTATATAATATATACTATATATGATTACAAGTTATTATAAACTGTAAAGTTTTCATTATTTTCATCTAAAATATAAGAAATGACAACATTTATGATATCATTGGACTTGAACAAATTGAATCAAAATTATTTTATCTATTTTTCAAATAACTTAGAAATTTTGGTCCTATTCTGTAGTATTCATATAAACCAGACAATCATTAAATTAATTAATTATTATATTAATATGTTAACAAATATTGGTTAAAACTGTACATGTTTACTAATAATGATTATAAAATTATAATTTATGAGAAACTGTAAGTTTTCCGAAATTTGATTTTTAAATATATGAAAAATTACATTTTTATATTTTATTGGTCTACAGATCCAGGAGCAACTTTGGCAAATAATTTTCATTTATGATTTTCATTCACAAGTATTTACTCAAATACTCAATCATAAAATAATTTTATTAAAGCATGTTGCTAATTTATTTGAATAAATATTTAAAATAAATCGTGCCATGTTTGCATATAATATTTTTAATGCATGTACAAATAGATTATACTTTACCGAAAAAAACTATATTTTTATAATGTTTGATTATTAAAAATTAAATAAGTATATATATATAATTTAATGAAACCAATTATTCATTTTAGACAATTATAACTAGACATTTATTTTATTCACAAAAATGGTAAACTAATTTTGAATATAAGAAATTATAATTGAAATAATGTTTCATAAAATTAGTAACAACTGTAACATATTCCTATCATAACAATAATTGTATAGATTTCTATATAGAAATTAATGATTGGAAACAAATGTTAAGTTGTTCATTTATTTATGACATAAATGAATCATTTTATTAATTTAACCCACTTAACTTATATTATTTAACTGCATGTAAAACTGTAAATATTTCAACAAAATATATTTAATTATTTTTAAATTTAACTAGATAGGTTTTATTTGGGAAATGAGGAGATAGTCAATTCAACAAATTGCTTTTATTTATGATTTTTATTAATAGCTATTTTAACTACGGTACTTTAATTTGCTACCTAATAACTATTAATTCTATAAGATTTTTAAAATAAACTGTAAGGTTTTCATTTATTACATGTTAAATATAAGAAAATACATAATTTATTAAATAATAGGACGTGAGCAAACTAGTAAAAATTATTATTTTATTTGTCTAATAACATAATAATTTTAAAAAATATATTTAAAAAAACATAATAATTTTGGATCTACATTGTAGTACTCAACATAAACTACAAAATCATAAAATTTATTAAGTACCGTGTGTTCCAAATATAGCTCGCGATTCTAAACGTTTATCATTTCAAAACTACATGAGATATCAAAACACTGTAAACTGTGTTTAAAAGAGGAAAGTATAGCATTTTATAATAAATATTAATCA